ATAATAAAACGACTCCACCAAAACAAAATGAGTAATAAATAATAATAAAAAAGGCAAAACTATTTTATTACTCGGGTAATTTTTTTTTTATTGGGTTATAGAACTTATCTTTACGATTTGGAAAAATCTATGGTTTTTCGTCTGCTATATATTTACAAAAACCGGTTTTTCGTCTGCTTCGAAGAATAGAAAAAAAAAATTCACGCAACTTAACACGTAATTTTTTGTTAAAAACTCAACTCGTCGGCGACAAATATTAATAATAATAATAATTATTATTTTCCTCGTGAATTATTATCATTATTATATCATTCTAATAGCAGAAGTAAAAATAATAATAATAATATTATGTACTACGTTTTTAACGACGTCCAATTTAAAAAACGTAAAAAAAAAAAAAAAGGGAAAATTTTCCCTTTTCTCCGGATGAAATTATTTTATTGACGTCATAACGTTTTGCCAACCTTGCAAAAAAAAAAAAAAACAAACCGCAATTAAAAAAAAAAAAAAAATTTCATTCCTACTTTCATTTACGGGGGGGAGGAAAAAAAAATTTTTCCATTAATTTGAACTTTTCCACGGAATAGCCTCCAGTACGTATAAAAAAAAAAAAAAAATTATTATTATTATTATTATTACTGAACTGGATGGATTACGTTTATAATTTGTGGCTTAATTTTAATAACATTTTTTAACATTAAAATATCGGATTTTCCAGAAATTTTTTTCTTTTTTTATTTCCTATCCGTCCATTTCTCGTATAATAATAATAATAATAATAATAATAATAATAATAATAATAATAATAATAATAATAATAATAATAATAATAATAATAATAATAATAATAATAATAATAATAATAATAATAATAATAATAATAATAATAATAATAATAATAATAATAATAATAATAATAATAATAATAATAATAATAATAATAATAATAATAATAATAATAATAATAATAATAATAATAATAATAATAATAATAATAATAATAATAATAATAATAATAATAATAATAATAATAATAATAATAATAATAATAATAATAATAATAATAATAATAATAATAATAATAATAATAATAATAATAATAATAATAATAATAATAATAATAATAATAATAATAATAATAATAATAATAATAATAATAATAATAATAATAATAATAATAATAATAATAATAATAATAATAATAATAATAATAATAATAATAATAATAATAATAATAATAATAATAATAATAATAATAATAATAATAATAAT